ATATTCAACAGTTTCAAGACTGCATGTGGAACCTGCCCAGTCAGTTCCTGAACTAAAGTCAGCTTGTCTGCTTCTTGGATTAATAAAACTTAGGCGCCAAGGCCTGAAGGCAAGGAGGCCACACTTTTGCTACTGGATCTAAATTTTTAGACAACTATGCCACTGGTTGATTCCATGGGCCTACTTCTTGAGTTAATACTGCAAGGGCCACATGGTTTTTCTCAGTCATATAAAGAACAAAAGGCCACTTTACATCCGGTATGCCTAAAGCAGGGGCGGCTGCTAAGGTCAGTTTTAGTCTCTTAAACACCTTTTTTTTTTCCTATAGCCCAAAGCAAATGATTTTTTTTCCTTTAGAGCTTCATAAAGAGATTTAGTGATCTATGTAAAACCAGGAATCCAAATTTTACAGAAGCCTGTCACCCCAAGAAACTCCCTCAGCTGTCTCTTATCTCATTCATCTTTCCTCTTAGCCTGTTCCTTCTCTCTCGCTGACTCTCTTTTTACATACACTTTTTTTAGCTAATTGTAGCAACTGTGTTATATTCATACCCTCCCAAGTTTCTTGCTTTTGAATTTTCTTCTAATATCTTGAGCTGACTGGGTCACAAAGTCGTATTCATTAACTAACTGATGGTTATCAGGAACATTAGGATCAAAAGGTGTGTACATTCTGTAAACTTTACAGAGCTACTCATAAAATCTCTCAGGGCTCTCATTGGGCTCCTGCCATGTTTCTAGCACTTTAATCATATTTGTAGGCCTTTTACTTGAGGCTCATATCCCTGCCAGGAGGGCCATCTGATAATTGCTTAAGCTGTCCTGGTCTCCTGGGGTGTTGGGGTTCCAATCTGGCCGCTCATTCACTAGAAATTGCTGTTCATGTCAGGTGTCTGGATTTTGTGTGCCTGCTGGCATTCTAGGAGCATTGATCTTTTTAATTTTTTCTAAAACTCTCTGCATTTTTTTAGAGATTAACAAAGTTTTACAAAGTTCTTTACAGTCCACCCAATTAGGACAATGGGTAGCAAAAATGGAATCAAATAATTGAAGCATTTTGGAGGGGTCTTGGCAGAAAATAAATGACTTTCTTTTTCTCTGGACCTAGCCTCCTTTGTCTTTTTTAAGTCAAATCTCAAATACTGCACCTTGGTCTGACATATTTGTGCCTTTTTTCAACAGTCTTTTTTTCTAACTCACTATAAAGGAGGAGCTCATATTGTAACCTGTTGGCTCTTAAACCCTTTGAAGATGACCAATGTACACATATTATAGTAACATATTTAGAATTTAACCCTTTGATGACAACCAATGTAAACATATTTAAACTTTTTATAACAAACTTGAAACCAACATACATATTTTTGATAAATCACTTTTGCACGTCTTTTGACATACCTAGGCCTTCTGGCCTTGTATATTTTTTATCTTTTTAACAAGACAAACATACAAAATTTTTTATTATCAAAATTGTATCTCTTATCTCACTATAGACCTTTTATCACAAACTTGTGTTTAGCTGTTAAAATTTTAAAGTGTCCCTTTTTTGTTCTCAGATTGTTACATTTTAAATTTGGTTGGCTCCCAATAGAATGGTAGTAACCTTGAGTTTTGTTTTCTTTATCAACAAAGTACAGAAAAGAGCAAGTTAACCCTATAATTACAATTGAAGAATTTGCAATGTACAAGAAAAAGTTTAAGCACACAAATTAAACATCAACTCAAACTGAAACACAGATACATTTATCAATTAGCTAAAATTTATAACCCTTGTAAAATTTCTTACTTTCTCTAGGTTTGTTTTATGCCCTTCAGAGCTTTTTTAGCTGTTTTTAATCCATTACTTATTTTCTCTTTTTAATTTTTTTAAATTTGAGGGTAAGCCCTATTCGATTCTCTCTGAGTCTGACCACAGCATGCACCCTCTGGTGCTCGGAAGCCAGGCAGTTCTCATACTTTTGTCCCCACCGCCTCTGAACCTGTGAATTTAGCAACTCAAAAGGAGGGGAAAAGTTTAAATTCTCTTGGTCTGGATCTGAAAGGACCAGTTACTTTTCAGCATCTTCCCCTTTCTGACAGAAGACCAGGATATTGGTTTTTGCTTCTGGGGCACATACAAGAAGCCAAGGAGGCATTCTGTGGCACAATTTGAGCCATAAGTCAATATAGGGAAATTGATCTGGATATTCCCATGCAGGGGCGGTGACTGTTAGCCAGATGGACCAGACAAGACTCTCATCTAGGGATCTCTCAGTTGGCAAGCTTGGGCCATTCTAATTCACAAAAGGCTCTAAGTTTTGGGGTTTCATCTTAGTACCATAATTTCCAGTAAAACCTTTCTTAAAATTCTCAAGCATGCATTCCAAAACAGTAGGAAGAGATGTTCTGTCCCCACGATCAGCCGATCAGAGTGTTGGTGCGTGTATGGGTACCCTTGTACGGAGACGCAAGACAAACAAAAGTGGGGGATCAATCGCTCGCCTGCCTGGCTGCAGGCCTCTCGGCCATTTTAAGGTCCGTTGAGGCTAAGGTGGGCTGTCGCTAAGCTCACCATTGTGCCTTTGTTAAAAGCAACCACACACAAATTCTTCAACTTGGGGAGGACTCTTTAAGCGCAAGCGCTTCCTCCCTCTGTCTTGTTCCGCAGCTCGTTTCACACACTCCTATCCAGAACTCTTTCACTCACACATTTATTCAGAAGTTATCACATCCCCTCCCGGTGACCCCCTAACCATAACCAAAACAAATGAAAGAAGCTACCTCTCCAAATGGCAAAGCACAAGGGGTGATCGGGCCCCAGCACTATGTTTGCCCAAAGTTCAAAAAGTGAACCAAAACAAACGGGAGGAGCTATCTTCCCAAATGGCAAAGCACAAGGAGTGATCAGGCCCCTGCACTGTATTTGCCCAGAGTTACAAAACACAAATTCACAAAGCGAAACCAAAAGTTAACAACTAGGGGGTTTCCCAGGGTTTCTCACCCAGCAAAGGAAAGAGACAGATGAGACACCAAGAGCAGCAGCCCTCCTTCTGTCATCTTCAATCTTGGGTTCAGATGATCCTCAGCTGGTGAGCAGGTCTCCATGTCCTGTTGTGGAGCCTAAGAAATAAGTCCCAGGGGCGGGCCTTTCCTCTCAAGGAGACGGAGAGCCATTCCCTCCGGTGGGGTTCAAGACCAATGCCCAAAAGGGCTATTTCATTCTGGATTCCCGGTCAGGGAACCAAATGTTCCAGAAATATTGGAAAGAAATACATGGAGACACAGAATTTGAGTAAAATAATAAAATTTCTACTTGCTGCAAGTGGGCGGGACCACTAGAAACCGGTCTGGTTAATATCTGCTCCCCCTTTGTTCAATGTTTTCCTTTTTATATCCTTTTTAGCCATTATCTCATACCTAGTGGTCTTTGGGGAGTGGGGCTGAGCAGTTGCAGCCTGACTGGGACCTGCTTCCTCTGGCTTGCTCCACCAGCTTGCGACCAAGACAGGCTTGTGATCAAGACAGGCTTGCTCCCAAGACAGAGTGAGGAGGAGCCCCCCCCCCAGGGCACACTCACCAGCCACCAGCTTGGCCAAGTGGGGCCAAGTGGGGCCCAGCCTTTGCAGCCTGACTGGGACCTGCTTCCTCTGGCCTAGTGATCTTTGATGTGTAAATACAATGCCAGTTCCTATTTACAAGTCACAGACACAAGATAGGCACATATACATTGTAAATTCACCCAGCCATTGCAACTTTGTTAGGTTAATGAAGTTACTGGTTAGAGTCTGATTACTGTCACCTTAAACAATGAGAGTTACAGGAAAAGCAGATCTTAAAGGAGCACATTACTTATTTTGCTTCCACAACTACCATAATATTCAGTCTACTAAGTTATCTAAAACTTTTCCCTGTCATTCCTCTCTCTCTTTACTTTGGGATAATTCTTCTATCTATTCTAAGTTCTGTCCAGTTTATCTACATTTTTTAACACTAGCATTTGGTAGTGTTGAGCTGCAGCAATGCGCTGCTGTATAAATTTTGAAATCCATTGGATGACACAAGGACCAAACATTAATATTAATATTATAACAAGAAGAAGACTCAGAAGAGGTCCTATCCAAGTTTTTCCAACCTGGCCAAGTAAAATTAATCCCATAGGACAGCTATCCTATACCAAATTCCTCATCAAGAGCCTTGATCTGGTCTTTCAGTTTGTCTAGTGATTCTTGTACAACACCAGATTTATTAGCGTAATAACAACACTCTCTACCAAGAAATAAGTAAGTCCCTCCTTTCTGGGCTGTGAGCAAATCGAGAGCATGCCTATTGTGTAATACGACATTGGCCAGTGAATCTAGTCGGGTTTCTAAAGCCTGAAGTGTGTCTCCAATTTCCTCAAGATCTTTTTAAATTTCTTGTCCTAATGAAATATATTACTCTTTGTAGCCAAATAGGATCCCATGGGGCTGGCATATACATAGATATAGGATTACATTGACCTTGTTTACAATTGTTACAATTACCAGTGGAAAATAATAAGATGGAAAATATACTGTTATGCCCAGATCGTGAAGTCCCAAAGACCACCAGGAAGCCGATTCCGATGTAAGCACATGAGGGCTGTTTATTCAAGCTCAAGCAGGGGCTCCCAACCATCACCAACACAGCGGATCAGAATTGAGAGCCCCAAATTTCAAATTAGCAGGGTTTTTATTGTGGTTACAGCAAGGTTTGGAGATTTTTCACTTAGCAGTTACATGATTGGTTGGCATTTAGCAAGCATGAAGTGTATATTTCTGATTGGCTAGGCCCATCGGGGGTTTGAGGGGCAGTTACATGTAGGTTTTACAGGGGAAAAGAGGGACAAAGTTTAGTGGTTGACTGTCACGTACTGATGGTCAGCACATTGACAGATTGTTCTATAGATAGTGGACGTGGAACGTTCATTTCCTGGGCAAACAGATGGTTGAGTAATTAACTTAGGAACTTTGCTTCATTACAGATTGTGTCTTTTGTCCCAGAGCAAGCACATTTTAACCATTAATTTGTGAGGACAATAGAGACTAGGAGAATAGTGGATTTTAGCAAAATGGAGTCACTTTGGTCTCACATTCCCCCCTTCTCATGATGCTATAGAGGACCAATCATGGGCCTCTGGGGGTTAATTCTATTAGGTCTGTAGAAACTGGCTGGTATTGGGACCTGAGTACCATCAGCTGTACAGTGTTAATGCGTTCTCTGATGAACGAGACTAATCTATTGAGTATACAAGGTCCAAGGGTTAACAGCAGTAACAGAATAAGCAAGGGGCCCAGTAGAGTAGAGATCAGAGTAGTCAGCCATGGGGAGGAATTAAACCAGGATTCAAACCAACTTTGAGTTTGTTCTCGCTCTCGCTTTTGTCTAGCGATACCCTAACTTTGGCCATAGATTCTTTGACCACTCCTGAGTGGTCTACATAAAAACAACATTCCTCACCTATGGCAGCACAGAGCCCTCCCTGTTGTAGAAAGATTAAATCTAGCCCCCTTCGGTTTTGGAGGACCACTTCTGCCAGGGAGGTTAGAGACTCTTGTAGGTGGGAGATGGAACTTTCTAGTCTCTCCATATCTACCTCTATGGCCGCTCTCAAATCATTGTAATATTTGTTTTGTAACACTAACGATGAAACTCCTGTTCCTGTCCCGGCTAATCCCAAACCTAGGAGGACTGTCAAAGTGATGGCTGTTACAGGTTCTCGTTTAATTCTGGCTTGGGTCTCAGTCAAGTGACTGAAAAGAACTTTTTCTGAGTGATATAACAGTCTAGGAACAAATTGTACTAGTACACAGAAGTCCCCAGTCTGGTTGAGCACCTTTCCATGTGCACAAGGGATGAGCCCGGTGGAGCAAGCCCACCATCCATCAGAAGGGGGTACAAGATATTTTTCTGACCTAGACTGATAGGTTTGGTTGCAAAGGTGTTGGTGAGTGGTCGGGACACTGCCAACACAAGTTCCCTGTCCAGTCACTGATTGTAGGGTTAGCCTGGCTGTCCCCTTTTGTTGCCATCTACACTGGGTTGGTCTATCTGACTCAGTGAAGTTGTCTAGGTAAGCTATTCCTTCATAGTAAGGAGGTTTGATATCATAACATAACCAACAGGACTGAGTAAGATCTGGTCTAGAGGCATTTAAGGGCCTTGAAGGTGTGGACCATCAGTCCCCAGAGGGGGTCCTGGTCTTGGTTGTGGTTGACTTTTTTTGGCCCGGGTGACAGTCTGAGCGGGGAGTTGAGATGTGGGTGAGGTTTTCTGGGGAGGGGCTTGGTGGATCTAGGAGGAGCCAGAGGGACTAGCGCTAAATTTGGCCAGATTGGCTGAGGAGACCCCATGACATGTGGTTCCATTTAGTCTTACAGTGAATAGTAACCCATTGTCATGACCATCCTGATATAGGCAGAGTCCCCATGTCTGGCCCGTTTCCCATCTAGTGTACTTTTTACCTTGGTTGGTGAAAGAAAGTCTAACCGGGTTACAGAGGAACTTTGAGCATGTACTGCTAACGACCTTGAATTTACCATTACTGTGGTGCGTTTGAAGGCCGGTGGGTCCGGGGACTCTTTTTAACAAGATTAAATCATCTTTGACAGGCGGAGTCCATGAGACAGTGCCCGTGGACTCACATCCCCATTCTGCACAATAGAACTTATCAGGACCTCCGCATCTATTGGCTTGAGCTCGTTCTCATCCTCCCTCTGGACAGATGTAGAACGGGGTGACTTGTAAAACGGCTCTTTGGACTGGGTGACTACACCCAAGGGCAGAGGAGGTCAGCATTTTTATATCACAATCATTGATATTTTTTCCACATTCAGGTTTTCCCTTTGATTTTGCTTCACAATCTCTGATATCCCATATTCCTGCTGCTAGCAGGCACAGGTCAAAGTCTATAGCAGGCCACCAGGTCACCGGTGGTGTCACTTTAGATGAACTGTTAACAATGTCACCCGTGGATGTACTAATGATCACTCAAGTTAGATTTAGGGGAGCATGTGGGTTTTGCCTTCCCAACACTGGTGTTAAGAGTACAGTTACCATAATTATGACCGACGATAACGCAGCTTGAGTTTGAGTGGGTTGTATAGGTCTTTGGACACCTGCCATGATGGGATAAAGTCTTCTAGAACGGCGTGTGGATCTGCGGGGTGGACGTGAGTGTAGTGTACCCACGAGGCAATCCCGTTGACCTTGAGAGCAGTGGGCATGGTCAGGACAGTAACATAGGGTCCTTTCCAATGAGGCTCAAGGTCCTTCTGCCGATGTCGCCGGACAAAGACCCAGTCTCCTGGTTGATAGTGATGGGGCTCGGGAGGTGGTCCAGACTCGTACAGGGCCTTTAATTTAGGCCACATGTCCTCGTGAACATGTTGGAGGCTTTTTAAGGAAAATAACAGTTTTTAATCATCAAACTCAGTGAGCACTTTGGACTGAAGATTAGGGATAATGGGAGAAGGTACCCCGAACATGATTTAAAAGGGAGTCAGTCCTATCTTATAGGGAGAATTGTGTACCCTATAGAGGGCAAAAGGTAGGAGAGTCACCCAGTCACCGCCAGTCTCTAAGGTTAATTTAGTTAAGGTCTCTTTTAGGGTCCTGTTCATTCTCTCTACCTGTCCTGAACTCTGGGGCCTGTATGCACAATGTAATTTCCAGTCTGCCCCCAGTACCTGTGCTAAACCTTGACTCACCTTGGAGATGAAGGCGGGTCCATTGTCTGACCCTAACATTACTGGGAATCCATACCTTGGCAAGATGTCTTCTAGTAACCTCTTAGCCACAACTTGTGCCGTCTCATGTTTGGTGGGGAAGGCCTCTGTCCATCCTGAAAAAGTATCTACAAAAACTAGCAGATACTTGTAACCATATCTCCCAGGTTTTACCTCAGTAAAGTCCAATTCCCAGTATGCTCCAGGTCAGTTTCCTCTCAGCCTATTGCCTGGGTTGGCTTTATTGTGGGTAGCATTTGTCAATTGACAGGCTTTGCAGGTGGCAACGATACGCTCAATTTTGGAGTTAGCATCTCGAATCTTTATTTCAGCATGTCTCAGGAGGTCTTGCATTTTTTGAGTGCCCATGTGGGTGGCCCGGTGCATTTTGGAGAGAACTTGTTCTCCCAGTGTTTCAGGCAGGATGACTTTACAATCAGAGGATTTCCACCACCCGTTGAGGCACTGGGGCATAGGTAATTGTTTTATCCACCTTAAGTCTTCTTCAGTATACTGGGGTTTTTCTGGCAAGGCAGCACTTCCTGGATTGGGAAGCTGATTGGTTAGGGTTAAATCAGCCTCTAGGGCTACCTTTCGGGCTGTCTGATCAGCTAGGTTATTTCCTTTAGCAACTGGAGTGTCACCTTTTTGGTGCCCTGGGCAATGAATAATGGCCAATTTCTTTGGTAGCCAGAGGGCCGTCAAAAGGGCAAGGATCTCTTCTTTTTGATAGTCCTTCCCTCAGCCGTCAATAGTCCTCTCTCCCTGTAGATGGCCCCATGGATGTGCATGGTGGCAAAGGCTTACCGGCTGTCTGTATATATGTTTAGCTTTTGGCCCTGCCCCAGAGTCAATGCTTTGGTCAGAGCTATGAGCTCCACCCATTGTGCTGAGGTCCCGGTGGGCAATGGTTCTGCCCAAATGACCTCAGTCTCTGTCACCACAGCTGCCCTGGCGTACCTGCAGCCATCCTGAACAAAGCTGCTCCCATCAGTATACCAGGTATTTTCAGCATCTGGCCATGGCTGGTCTCTCAGATCAGCTCGAGTCCCATGTACCTGAGCCAGGATGTCAACACAGTCATGGAGTGGAGTTTCTAAGTCCAGATCTGGCAACAGTGTAGCTGGATTCAAGGCAGCTGGGGTCTGAAAAACAACTTAGGCTGGGTTTAGGAGTAAGCTCTGGTAGTGAGTCAGGTGGGCGTTACTGAGCCATCAATCTGGAGGCTGTTTCAGGACTCCCTCAATAGCGTGAGGGGGGGTGGTCACGTACAGTCCTTGGCCCAGTGTCAACTTGTCAGCATCTTTGACCATCAGGGCCACTGCCGTGATCATCCTCAAACATGGGGGCCATCTGGATGCAACTGGATCGAGATTTTTTGATAGGTACGCCACTGGGCGGTGCCATGGCCCTAGGTATTGGACTAATACCCCTTTAGCGATGCCTTTGTTCTCATCAACATACAGGTGGAAGGGTTTGGTTATATCGGGCAGGCCCAGAGTGGGCACCGACAGTAAGGCAGTCTTTATCTGATCAAATGATTTCTGTAGTTTTTCAGTCCATTGGAAGGTCTGATTGTCTTTAGTTACCTCATAAAGGGGTCTTGCCAGTTCTCTAACCCCGGTATCCATAAGAGGCAGAAGCCAGCTGACCCCAAGAATTCTCTGACTTTTCGAGGGGAGTCAGGTGCAGGTATTTTAAGAACTGTCTCTTTTCTGGCACCAGACAGCCATCTCTGTCCCTTTCTAAGTATGTAACCCAAGTAGCTCACCTCAGACTTGCAGATTTGGGCCTTTTTGGCTGATGCCTGGTACCCCAACTTTCCGATGGTGGCCAGGAGTCCTTTAGTTCCCTCAAGGCAGGCCTTCTGGGTTTCAGCTGCTATGAGGAGCTCATCTACATATTGCAACAAGGTTAGCTGGGGGTTTTGAAGGTGGAACTCACACAAGTCTTCATGTAGAGCCTCGTCAAAGACTGTGGGGGAATTTTTGAACCCCTGAGGCAGTCGAGTCCAAGTTAGCTGTCCATTGAGGCCTTGTTCAGGATTGCTCCACTCAAAGGCAAAGATGTGTTGGCTCTTGGGCACCAACAGAAGGCTGAAGAAGGCATCTTTCAGGTCTAGGACTGTATACCATTGATGACTCGGTGGCAGGGAACTCAAAAGGGTATAAGGGTTAGGTACCGTGGGGTGAATGTCCATAGCCCTCTTATTCACTTCACGGAGGTCCTGTACTGGTCGTTAGTCATTTGATTGAGGCTTCCGCACCGGTAACAAGGGGGTCTTCCAGGCCAATTGACAAGGCCTTAGTATCCCTTGTTCTAGTAACCGCCTAATGTGTGGGGTTATTCCCTGTCGGGCTTCTAGGGACATAGGATATTGGCAGACGTGGACAGGGTCTGTTCCTGGCTTTAATTCTATATATATAGGTGGTCTGTGTACAGCCAGCCCCATGCCCCCAGTTTCAGCCCAGGCTTGAGGGAACATTGCAAGCCATTTGTCCATCTCAGGGCTTGGTGGAGATGGCCCTTGATGTAACCAATATTCATCTTCTATGCTTACAGTTAACACTTGGATTGGTTTGCCTTCTTGATTAAGGACTTCCGTACCCCCTGGTTGGAAGTGAATTTGGGCTCCCAACTTAGTGAGCATGTCTCTCCTGAGTAATGGGTATGGGCAATTGGGAATGATCATGAACGAGTGGGTTACCTGGCCCACTCCCAAGTCTACCATTCTTCGGGTAGCCCATGAATATTTTTTCATGCCTGTGGCTCCTTGAACCCAGGAAGTTTTATCAGAAACATGGCCATGAGGTTCAAGTAGGACTGAATGTTGAGCTCCTGTATCCACTAGGAACTCGACAGGTCTCCCCTCCACTTTTAGGGTTACCCTGGGCTCGGGGAGGGGTGCCAAACCCTGTCCCCCCTAGTCACTCAGTTCATCTATAGCCAGGATGGGGGCCTTGGGGTGACTTCCCGGCTTTTTAGGGCATTCTCTGGCCCAATGGCCTTCCTCTTTGCAATAAGCACACTGGTTCTTTCCCAATCGGGGGTGATCTCTATGTTCCCCCTTACCTTGTCCTTCTGTCACAATCTTTCTCAGACAACGTTCACGTTCCTTTGGCTCCCCCGCAGTGGTAGCAAGAAGGATCCGAGCTAGGTTCCTAGTTTGCCGATCACCAGCCTTTGCCTGTTTTTCTTCTGCATTCTCTCTATTGTTATATACTCTCTCTGCCACTGCCACTAAGTCCTGAATACTTTTTTCTCCTAATCTGTCTACTTTTTGCAACTTTCTCCTGATATCCGGTGTGGCTTGGTTGACAAAATGCATAATGACAGCTGCCTTAGTCTCGGCGGCCTCTGGATCCATGGGAGTAAATCTGCGGAAGGCCTCTAGGATCCTCTCTAGAAAGGCCTCCGGACTTTCATCTTTGCCCTGCTGAACATCTCCTACTTTGGCCAAATTGGTGTGCTTCCGAGCAGCCTCTTTGAGACCTCCCAGTAGAGTCTGGTGGTAAACCCGGAGTCTCTCCTTACCTTCTGCCGTATTGAAGTCCCATTCGGGCCGGGACAAGGGAAAGGAAGTGTTGATGGTGTCAACATTGGTGGTGGATTGACCATTGTCACCAGGAACCAATTTCCTGGCTTCATTTTGGATTCTCTCTCCCTCCTCTGTGGTAAACAGGATCTGGAGGAGCTGTTGACAATCATCCTTGGTGGGCTGATGGGTGAACAACACAGTTTCTAACAATTGGATTAGATCTCTGGGATTATCAGAAAACTTGGCGTGCTGGGTACACCAGTTATAAAGGTCACTAGTGGCAAAGGGCCAATATTGGAGAGGCTGATCGCCATGTTCATCAGGGGGTCCAATTGTCCTCAATGGGAGGACGGTGGAATCCACCAGTCCTGCAGGCGAGGCCACGTGGCGGTTACAGGTATTTTGGGCAGGGCCATCTTTACCAGCGGCTCCTGCTGGAGCTTGTATCTCCTCACCGACCACTGCCAGGGCTTCTCCCTCCACCTTCACTGGGGGTGGTGGGAGCAGAGGAGCGGGTTGTGGGTAGTGGGGGGGGGCGAAAAAGAAGATCTTCATCGGTTCCCCCTTGAAGAACTGGGTAAAGCAGCGCCGTGGGTTTGGTTTGTCTTTTCCGGTCATCTCCTTGGGTGGTTTTCTCGTGCACCACTAGGACTACTGTTGCAGGCAGCTGTTTCTGTGGAGACGAAAAGGGCTTGACCCAAGAAGATGGGTCCTGTACCAAGTTTTCCCAGGTAACGATGTATGGTACCTGGTCAGGGTGTCCTGTTTGGAAACAAAAAATAATTTCCTTGACTTTTCTGATTGTTTCTAGATCAAATGTACCCTCTGGTGGCCAGTTTACTTTAAGGGCTGGCCATTCTGAGCTACAAAGAGTGGCTAGTTTTCCCTTTTTAACCTCTAGACTCAAATTATGTGCTTGTTTTCTAACTTCTCTGAAATGACCTGTTATCAAGGAAAGGGAGATAGTCACAGTCTGTCCCATTGTCTCCGTCTCAGTCAGATAACAATAAAACACAACAGACAAGCAACCGAGCCAAATAGATAAACAGAAAGCAAGACAAAAAAGTCCTCCACTCGATTGGAGGGAAAAACCGAAAGTGGGACAACAGCCTCACGCCATGCTGCGGGAGCGACCCGCTTCATCCTTCCAGGAGTTGCAGAGACTCTCGGGGCACTCCGTCCCCTTCAGGAGGGTCTGGAACGTCTTCCAAGACCCCGGGTTGGCAGCCCACCAGAGCGTCCGTTTAGACCTTTTGCCGACCTATTCAGAAAATGGGCCCCAAATTACCAATCATAGACAATTTATGGATACAGAGATATTTACCAGCTGGCATTGACCCTCCGGTTTGGGGGTCCTGGGGGTCTTGGGGATCCCGGACGAGCCCCCAAATGTTATGCCCAGATCACGAAGTCCCAAAGACCACCAGGAAGCCGATTCCGATGTAAGCACACAAGGGCTGTTTATTCAAGCTCAAGCAGGGGCTCCCAACCATCACCAACACAGCGGATCAGAATTGAGAGGCCCAAATTTCAAATTAGCAGGGTTTTTATTGTGGTTACAGCAAGGTTTGGAGATTTTTCACTTAGCAGTTACATGATTGGTTGGCATTTAGCAAGCATGAAGTGTATATTTCTGATTGGCTAGGCCCATCGGGGGTTTGAGGGGCAGTTACATGTAGGTTTTACAGGGGAAAAGAGGGACAAAGTTTAGTGGTTGACTGTCACGTACTGATGGTCAGCACATTGACAGATTGTTCTATAGATAGTGGACGTGGAACGTTCATTTCCTGGGCAAACAGATGGTTGAGTAATTAACTTAGGAACTTTGCTTCATTACAGATTGTGTCTTTTGTCCCAGAGCAAGCACATTTTACCCATTAATTTGTGAGGACAATAGAGACTAGGGGACTAGTGAATTTTAGCAAAATGGAGTCGCTTTGGTCTCACAATACAAGAAATAAAAAGATTCCTAGATACATATGAATTACCAAAGCTGAATCAAGAAGATACAAAAATTCTAAATAACCCAATATCATTCGGTAAAATTGAAGAAGTAACTTTAAAACTACCAACAAAGAAAAACCCAGATCCTGATGATTCACTGCTGAAATCTAAAAGAACTTTAGAGAAGATCTAATCCCACTACTCCTCAAACTTTTTAATGAAATTGAAAGGGAAGCAATACTCACAAAGTCATTTCTGGGTGCAAGCACTACCATGATACCAAAACCAGGGAACGATCCAACCAAATAACAGAACTACAGGCCAATCACCTTAAAGAACATAGACGCAAAAATCTTCAATAAGATACTGGCATACAGAATGCAACAAATCATCAAGAAGATTATACACACATGTCCAAGTAGGATTTATTTCAAGGATGCAGAGATTGTTGGAAATTTGCAAATCAATAAATGTAATACCCCACATCAACAGAACTGAGGACAAAAACAACACAATAATCTCAATGGACACAGAAAAAGCATTTGACAAAGTCTAACATCCAATCATGATAAAAAAAAACACTGAGGAAAATAGGTGTAGAAGGTCTTTATCTCAATTTATATAAAGCCATTTATGACAAAACAACAGCTAACATCACACTAAGTGTTCAAAAACTGAAAGGTTTCACTCTAAAATCAGGAACATGACAAGGACACCCACTATCACTCCTCCCATACATTACAATTCTGGAAATATTAGCATGAGCAATTAGAAAAGAGAAAGAAATAAGAAATATAGATAGGAAAGGAAGAAGTTAAATTATCATTATTTGGGGATGACATATTACTCTACATAGAAGGCCCCAGCAACTCCACCAAAAGACTCCTAGAATTAATAACCAAATTCAGTAGCATAGCAGGATACAGAGTCAACACTTAAAAATCAATAGCATTCCTGTACAAAAATAACAAACTCACTGAGACAGAAATTAGGGAAACAACTCCTTTCACAATACTATCCAAAAAAAAAAAAAAAAAAAAACAGGAATCAATCTAATGAGGGAAGTAAATGATCTCTACATTGAAATCTACAGTACTCTGAAAAAGGAGATAGAATAGGATATTAGAAAATGGAAAGATAGCCCTTGCTTTTGGATAGGCAGAAACAATATAGTAAAAATGGCCATACTTCCAAAACTGTTATACAAATTTAATTCAGTCCTGCTCAAAATGCCAATAGCATATCTCACAGAACCAGAGAAAACAAACCTAAAATTCATTTGGAACCTGAAGAGACCTAGAATACCAAAAGCAATTCTGGACAACAAAGGCAAAGCAGAGGGCATCACAATCCCAGACTTGAAATTATACTACAAAGCTTCCATGATTAAAAAAACCCCACCAAAACAGCATGGTACTGGCAAAAAATAGACCTGAAGGTCAATGAAACAGAATAGAAGATGCAGAAACAACTCCAAATGCACTCAGTCACATTATCTTTGACAGAAGGGGCCAAACATCTTCACTGGAAGAAAGCCTCTTGGATAAATGGTGCTGGGAAATCTGGCTTTGCACATATCAAAAATTAAACCTAGATCCATATCTCTCATCATGCACTAATCTGAAATTGAAATTTATCAAAGATCTAAATATTTAAAAACCTCTTAATCTTCTGGAAGATAGAATAGGCAAAACTCTTGAAGACATACATGTAGGCAAAGACTTTATAAATAAAACCCCAATTGCATAGGAAATACTACAAAGAATGAATGACTGGGATCAGATCTAATCATGAGGACATACTCTTAAGTGAAATAAATAGGACACACGTGTAAACACCGAATAGTTTCTCTAGTGTGAGAAACTGACAGTGTAAATAAGGATTAAAATGATTAAAACAAATAACTGATAATTTGAAATAGGAAGAAAAGGTCCAAAGGGGTAGGGGAAGTGGGAGGGGAAGGGGAAAGGAAAGAAGGGAAAGGAAAAATTGTGAGAAAAGAAAAAAAAAGGAAATGAAGTCTATGTAAATAGGGAAGGGTGGAGAGGGTGAAGGGCACACAGGTGATGGGGAAAAAATAAGAATCAAGATACATCATGTACAGATACAAGCTCCCAATGATAAATTTAAATGTATTGTATACCTAAAAAGTACCAATAAAAGAATTTAAGCAAAAAATAAAAAATAAAAATAAAATGCAAAAAAAAAGCTTTTGCTCTTCAAAAGGAACCACGAACAGAGTGAAGAGATAACCCACAGAATGGGAAAATTTTTAGAAGCTATTCCTCAGACAAAGGACTAATATTTAGAATATATAAAGGACTCAAAAAAGTCAGTTCCTCCCCCCCAAAACTTAAAGACTCAATCCAAATATGAGCATCTGAAATGAATAGATACTTCTCAGGTGAAGAAGTACAAAGAGCAAATAAATATATGAAAAAAATGTTCAGCATCACTGGTCAATCAAGTAATGAAAATTAAAACAATGCTGAGATTCTATCTCACTCCATAAAGAATGACTATCATCAAGAAATCAACCAATAACAAATGCCAGTGGGGCTATAGGGAAAAAAGAACAACTTTCCACTGTTGATGGGAGTGTTAATTGGTGCAACCAGTATGGAAATCAGTATGGAGATTTCTCAAAAAACTGACATTTGGGGCTCCATTTGACCCACTCATCACCTTTCTTGGTATCTTCCCCAAAGAGTTAAAAGAATCATATCACAGCAATATTTGCACACCTATGTCTATAGCAGCACAATTTGTAATGCCTAAATCTTAGAAACATCCCAGATCACAATCAATGGATGAATGGATAAAGAAAATGTGATTTTTATATACAATGGAGTACTACTTTGCTATAAAGAAGGATAAATATGGGGCATTTTTAGGTAAATGGAGGTACTTTGAGAACTTAAGTGAAATAAATCAAACACACGTTTAAATATTGCATTGTTTCTCTGGTGTGAGAAACTGAAAGGGTAAAAATGGATGATAGATATTGGGAATTAGGAAGAAAATGTTTTAAATGGGAAGGGGAAAAAGGGAGGGAAAGGGGGAAAGGAAGGAAGCAAAAAGGAAAAAAGAGAGTAAAAGGGAAAAAATGGAAACCAAGCTTTTGTAAATAAAGAGGGGAAAAGGGTTGAAGGGAGGGGAGGGGAATGAGAAAAAAAGAAGCAAGATATATTATGTACAGGTTCAAATTCCCTATGATGAATGTGACCATTATGTATATTAAAAGTATACCAATAAAATAAATTTTAAAATACCACATATAATGACCTAAAATAAGAAATAAGTATAGGTAGAAGGGGAAAAAAGAAATTATAATTTCAAAATTGTACTTTTAAGAAAAACTATAGCTTCAGGACACAAGTTATCCAAGGTTCCAATGCCTTTTTGCCTTTCAGGAAACTCATCCAAAATAAGAAAAAAATTCCTAAGTACCTTGAAGACAATAATACTGAAAGTTAGGACTATACCGCTACATCTGTAAATTCAGTCATACTTTTGCCCTACAGACATCTATTCTTGAGAGAGCAGCACTATTAAATGAGTACCATATCTCTAAACTTTAAACGCATATGAATGGTTGTTATTCTAACCTAGTCCACCAAATGGGTAGTCTGACAGTAGGAATACACATTCTATATCACCCATCTTAAAGAAAC